AAGGTTCATCCTCCCAAACAGTCTAATAGGAAGTCAATCAACACTGGACAAGATAGAAGAGAACAGATATGTGGCAGTTTCTCAGAAATAAGACCCAGGATAGAACAAGCCGGCAGCAGGCACTTATGTATAACTTCAGGGACTTGCTTGTAGCCTCATATGTGCATATGGAAGAGAGTTGTCAATGCAGACATTTTGGAACTAGAGTTCCTAAGAAATCCTTGGTCACAGAAAAAACAGTATTTGGTATATACTAATAATATACCTTCTTGGAGAACACACAGAATTTAACCAAAACTTATGCTGAGGAAGACAGTGACATATCTTCTACCATGGTCTTGCAGATATTATTCTCTAGAGAAAAAAAGATGGACTTATAATTGTGTGCTTATTTCCCCAATAATCTTTAAACTTCTCGAAAGCAAGAATTTTGTGTTTTTGTCTATAAATTCAAACCTATAACCCAGTGCCTGACATACAAAATGGTCCCTTCTTCATCCCCAAGTCACTGACCCTCAACATTCTTCTTCTTATACTAAATCCCTGCTCTCTCTACCATTTGTCTATTTATTGTCCCTTCTCATGAATGTTAGATCCATGGAGTCAGGGACTTTGGCAAATAGCAGATTCTTTTGAAATATTTGTTTAAAATAAGTAAATGAATGCATAAAAAACATTTATTGAAGGAATTGTTGTATTATGACATAGAGGGGTGTTTCTAAAATAGCTTCATAACAATCACCAAGTATGTGGTCTGCCCATCTCTGTTGAGTAGCCTCTTTAACAAAGCTATGAACACCATACTTTTTCTTTCTCATGAGAGTTGGATTGAAACCAATAAGGAGCAACTAGGTCAATTCTCAAATTGGAGCTAGTAGGCAAAGACAGGCCCCATCACAATCATCACCATATTTCTAGCTTCTACTGAATTTCACTAGAATCTATAATTTGACAATGTGTTTTTTAAAGTCACGAGAGAGAGAGAGAGAGAGAGAGACAGAGAGAGACAGAGAGAGAAACGTGGTCATCTTTATGAAAACACCTGTTGAGAGTCTTGATGGGTGTTGCAGCAGGTTATTTTGACCTATCCAATATCCATAAAACAAACTATCTGCCCAGGATGCACTGTTGTGTAATCTCTCATTCGATCATTTCTTCATTTAGCCGTTTCTCCATCTACACTTATCGGTTGTAATTAGACATCACAGACACGCATGAACGCACACTTTCTATATGGTATCCTTGGTCTTCAACATGGGAGAATTAAAAAATACAATTCCTGAGAATTTTCAGAAATGCATAAAAGTATGTCATTCTTAAAATATTTTCAACACTCTTAAACTCTTTACTTATTATTATAGGTATTTAAATTTATTTAATAACTATAACACTAAGTATATTAGTATATACCAAGTACTGTAGACTATACCGAATAACCAAACACTGGAAAACACCCATGAATATTATTGGGTGGTATTTTAATAACTAAGCATTCAGATCTCCCAATAAAATTAATAGCCCTACACAGAATCACATGTCAAAATTGCCAATTTAAGGTCTTACTTGCTTCAAAAATTTGTTATTTCTTGGTACATCACATAGGATTTGTTTAAAATATCCTAAGCATTTAAACTTATGAATATTAATTTTATTTGCAAGAATGACTTACTGTTCAGCAGATGGGACCACGAACTCACACCTGGAAACAGCGGGCTGACTGCTTGGATCACGACTGCTTCTCTTGCAGTGCTTCTTGTCCTGGTTCAGAAATGTAGACCTAACCTTGGACTCTGCATGTCATGTTTTTTGCTCTTGCAAAAAACTGAACCTATCATCTCTCTGTGTTGATTATTATGCTATGATTCTTACAGGAGAATTGTAATACTTTCTCCAACTTTCCTGATTTCTCAACTATTTGGATTTAAATTTGAATTTAAAAATAAATACTTTTTTTTTTTTTTTTGAGAAACACTGGCAAGGAATTCCCACATAGAAACACCACTGTGACGAACCCTTCCTTTCATCCACCAGTTAAACCGTAAGAAAAAAGTTGGAGAAATCTACCGTGGCAACATACAAGTGATATTTTTGACTTGTTGTCTGGACTCAAGGTGCTTATGGATTCGTAGTGGAGACATATACTCAGTTAACCACACTACATGATAAAATGTATTTTAATAAAATTCCATCAAGAGAGGCATAGATAGAGAACGTCAATGGATGGAGAGGTTACTTTCTGGGCAAGTCAATACCAAGGACAGACTCACAAATCCAAAAGGCCGCATGAGGGGGTAAGCGGTGTTTAGAAAGAAGAATTTTGAAAGAAATGGTGAAGATACAGGAAAGGAAAAGTGAAGGAAACCTAAAATAGTTTTGCAGGTTCTGACTTCCACTTATGTTACCAGGAGGCTATCTTGTTATAGGTGGGCATCATTGATCGACATTTCAGTCCCATCATTTGACTCATGATATACTCCACTCAGTGTTCTAACTCCAGAATCTAATAAAAAACTTCATGGAAAGACTCTCACATTAGGGAAATAATTTTTCACTAAGAAGGAGGAAGAGATCATTCCATTCAGCTAAAATAGCTACAGGAAGGTAACTGGGGAAGCTCAGTAATTCAGTTGAAAGGATTGACCCAGCTTTCGGGGCCTTCTTCTCAACAAAGTATTATTTCACCCTCTCCTTTATGAGTTCCAAGTTAATTTTCTGTATGATTTGTGGCGTTAAATACCAGTGAAAGGAGTCATAAAAATGCAGTTGCAAACTCTCCTTTTGTTGGCACTCCAGACAACGCCTAGCCCAGCGTGTACATCCAGTTGATTCATTATGTTCTGATGTGACTTGGCCTGGATATGTTTATATGTAACCTGCCAACCAGAGGGTTTGCTCCCCTTCTCCAACCTCTAGTTGGAACCAAAGACATTTCTAATATATTAAGTCCATGACTGTTCCCAGAATAAGTAACACTTTGTAGTTCGTACTCCTTATTCTCTTGTGGCATTGGCTTGAACAATTTAAAGCATCGAAAGTAGTTTTGAAGAGATACAAGAGTAACCAAGACAAAAATCGCTGATCTAAAAAAAAATATGAAAAGTGAAGAAGGATTATGCTGTGCCGATGAGGGGTTTATGTGTCAAATAAATCTATATGAGCCTCAGAGAACTTTTAGAAATTATTATTTTTCTAATATAAGAGGAACACAGTCATATTTTTTAAAAGATGATTTGAAATGTATTAGTTAATGAAGAAGAAAAATATGCATAATTTTACAAATCACAGATAATAACTTAACTTTTTGGTGTTTTTGTATTCATCATTATGCATATACATTTTTATAAAATTGGGCTTCTATTATAAATATAGGTTTGTATCTTGCTTTTATTATTTAGTTAAAATGATAAACATTGCACCTGATTATTAAATGTTACATACAATTTCAAGTATACAGTGTTACACTAATTTCTTAGATCAGTTTTAACATCCACTGGCAAACACTCATTCTCTTCCTGGACTCGAGGTGAACTAAGTCAACTTTAGGGGCGGGATCCAGACCCCTGCCTGACAGTTGTTGTGGCAAGGTCATTCTCCTTAAGAACTGTCCCCAATGCCCTCTTCAGCTTATGGGTCCTCAGGGCGTAAATGAGAAGGTTGAGCAGCGTGGTGTCAGCTGTAGACACCAGAGAGGAAAGCCGATTCTCCTTGAGGGTTTATCTGTGGTCGTGGCACAGGGACAGGAAACCGGTCAGTCATCCAGCAGCGGGACCTTGCTGAGGTAGGAGGATCAGTGGTGCCACCTGCTGATTGGATCTCTGAGCAGCAGCCATTAGGAAGACCTAGGAAGAGGTGAGAAAAGAGGAAGGGCCAAGACAGCCTGAAAGCCAGCAGCATAGCCGGCTCCTGCAGGCAGTGCTGACATCCACAGGAGGCAGTTTTCCACACCGTGGCAAGGCTGTCACACAGAGAGTGCCTCGTCAGTGCGTGTTAATTCCTGACCACTCCCTGGCCTGGCAGGATGACGGAAAACCCAGGCGAGCAGTTGGGATGCATGGAGTGACGGCAAATTGTTGCATTAAATAAGCTGTAGTTTGCCATACATTTGTATCTAACACAATCATAAAATATATTTCTTTGACAGAATTATATGTTTTAATGAGTAGTCCTTACTTGAGGCATCTTTCACAGGATAAATTAACATCATTGCCTCTTCAAGAGGCAGGTTGTCTTAATGTATCGATGTCTTTATTCACAGGGTGCGTGAGGTGGGGGTGGGGTCCCAGACAGAGCAATTGCCATGGTTAGCTGTGAACCTTTAAGTGAGGGCTAGCAGACTAGAGCTCCTACACTGAAGGTTTTGTTCAAATTTTTCAAATCTTATTCAAAACACTTCCGGAAAATGACTGTAGACTGTGGATAATATAGGGCAAATATGGCAAAATCAAAATCTCAGTTGCAAAGTGTGAGAAAGTTGATATTAAAATTCTACTTTCGTCATTTGGATGGAGTTCATTATCAAGGCGACCTTCAGACTCACCCCATCCCCCGTTCCCCTAAGCCTTCGATTGGTGTCAGAGGCTGATACACCGATGACGATATTCTCCAGAGCACCTTTGACTTCCTTGCTCCGCAGAGTGTAAATCAGGGGTGGAGTAAGGGGGCGACAAAGGTGTAGATCAGAGCGATTTGGAGCTCCTCAAAGGCTGACGCCCTGGACGGGGGATGCAGGTGGACCACGGCACAGACGCCATACTGCAGCAAGAGCACGGTAAGGTGGGAGGAACAGGTGGAGAAGGCCGGGCGGCGACCCTGCGTCGAACGGATGCGCAGGATGGCCGAGGCGATGAACATGTAGGAGACGCAGATGAGCAGGAAGGGGACGGTCAGCACGAGGATGCTCACGACATAGAGGACAGCCTGGTGCACGTGGATGTCCGCGCAGGCCAGCCGCAGGACCGGAGGCACATCACAGAGGAAGTGGTTGATCGCCCGGAGGTGCTCCCAGAAGGGCAAGGTGAAGATTAAGGACGTGCGCTGCACGGTCAGGAAGAGCGCCAGGCCCAGGGCGAAGGCCACCACCTGGATGCACAGCTTCTGAGTCATGACGAGGGTGTAGTGCAGCGGGTAGCAGATGGCCACATAGCCATCAGACACCATGATTGCAAGGAGAAAACAGTCAGCACCACCAGGTGTGAGAAAATAGAACATTTGGGCCCCACAGCCTGCCAGTGTAATGGGCTTCCAGGCCCCCCACAACATGGGAGAGCATCAAGGGTACCACAATGGTGTTGTAGCTGACTTCTATGAAGGACAGGCTGGACATTCCGGTGAACACATGGGACTCAAACTGAGTGGGGCGGGACTGGTTGAGGACAGGGCTCCTAGCAAATGAGTCTCCTGCGAAAGAACAGAAAGTGTTGAATCTCCCTTTGCTGGGTTGTGTTACTGCTTGAAGAAAAGCAGGGACTTTAACTTTGATTCACAATTACCTATTTCGTATCCAGATTCCAATTTCAGTGCTTGGAATATGTGCGCAATAGAAGGTATGGGGTCGTTTTCCGTGGAAACCGTCATGAATGGGAGACAGACTCATCTGTAGATGTTTCCGGTGACACAAAAGATGCCTGCACCGTTACTAGATTTGTTCTATTTCTTAATCTTGGTAGTGGTTATACTAGTGTATTTAGTGTGTAAAAAATAGATCAGGCTGTATACTTAGGATCTGTGAAATTCTCTATACGTATCTCATATTTCAATAAGAATTTACCAGAAAAGTGAACACTTCTATTTAAATAATTTTGAAAATATCTACAACTATCCAACTCTCTAGTTTAATAAAAAGCAAAAAGTTAGCCCTTGTCAATTGGATTTAAAATACCAGAGTAAAAAAAAAAAGACATTTTACCAGTGATACCTATGTGTCTGTGTCACCAGAAACTAACATAATGTAGAATGTCATTTATATCTCAATAAAACATTAAAGGAGAAAAGCAAGCAAAGATGCAAGGTACCCATTTTGTTGGCAAGGATCATAGCTCAGGGGGCAAGATTGTGTAATAAGCAGCTTCCTGGTTTGGTGGCTTTTGGACTCTGGCAGAAACAGTGAAATGCTGGGACTAGAAATTGTTCCTGGAAGCTTTATCTACTTGTTCAGCCATTCCAACAATTTTGGAAACTACAGAATACATGATAAATAATACTTTTCGCTTAAGAAAAAAAAGTAGCCAAATAAAATTATATTAAGCATATAAAAAAAAGAAAAGAATGAAGAAGAAAAAGCTATTAGACTCTTGAAATTCGTCAAGCAGGAAACAAGCTGATTAAACTACTCAACTGCAGATGTGTGCTACCCTTCATGAAAAAGAAAGAATGACTCTGGGGGTAGAGCTTAGAGAACAGTGCGGTGGACCACAGAGGGTGAAACTCTGGGCCCAGAGGGTGGAGCCATGAAGTAGAGAAGATTATCCCCAGGTCTTGAAAATTAATGAAGTCTGCCCTGTTTGATTTCAAAATTGGTTGGGACTAATAACTTCTTTCTTGCTTCTATTTTTCTCTCTTTGGAAACGGAATGTCTGTAACTGTTATTCTACACCTGTCTCATTATTTTGTTTTGGGAACACATAACTTGTTTTCTAGTTTTGCAGGTCCACAGATGGAGAGGAATTCTGCCCAAGCATGGTTTATACTCAGAGTCTCATCTAGATCTTGATTTAGATGGTTTAGATTATGAGATACGGGACTCTTGAGCTAATGATATTCAGATGAGATTTTGGACTTGAGCTGATGCTGTAATGGGTTGAGGCTTTGGGGGATGTTGGGATAGGATGAATGTATTTTGCATTTGGATGTGTTGTTAAATACCAGTGTCAAAAAATTTAGAGAACTTTACTTGAGAAGAAAATTTTCTTGAGCAAGAAGAACACCAAGATTAGGGAGACTTCAAACTGAAAGTGATCAGCATTTCAGAAGCATCTCATCACAGAATGGCTTATCAAGTGAGAATGAACAAGCTGTTGAACTTTTACAACGATTGGTTATTACAATGGGAATTTCCACATGGTGGGGGATTGGTTAAAAGTGATTATCTTCTACCATTTTTAGGAAGATAACTTAAATTTTATTTATCATTATCAGAGGGATTTGCAAGGAATTACCTAAATTAATTTTTACTTCTGTTCATGAAAAGAGCTAGGTTAAGTTTTGCTTACACCGCCTAAGTGCTTTTGTCTGTTCAGGGAATTTTCAAGCCTGGTTTTCTTTTTGTTTTAAGAAAATGGGTCCCCCCACCCCTCAACACACACACACACACATACACACATCTTTTGGGTCCATCATAGTGATATGGCTGGAAATCAAAGATAAAGAGAAAACAATTTCACATTCATATGGGAAAAAACTCCACAAGAATACAAGCGATTTCTTATCAGAAAAATGAGAACCAGAAGGCAATGGACGGGCATCTTTAAAGAGGTGAAAGACAAAAGAGCATTCCAAGCATTCTATACCCAGTGAAAATATTCTTAAAATTAATATAAAAATGTAAAAGACTACTTGTAGAATTCCTTTAAGAAGTACTGACTGCTTAAAACAAAAATAGCAATCTATGATGAAATTTATAACTAAAATGTTACAATAATAACACAGATATGGGGAGACCGTAAATAGAATTATACTTCAAAATCTTCCTACATATTTACTGCAGCAGTATCATAATAATTCATAGTAGGCTGTGATAAGACTGCAACTACAAAATATAATAGCTAAGAAATGACTAGAGATAAAAAGTGTTTCATAAATTCAAAAAGAGGCCGAGAAGGAGAAAACAAGGAACAAAGAAGAGATGGGATCAATGAAAAACACATAGGAAGATGAAATATACACACTCTAATCAGATTGGATTAAAAAGACAAAAGGATGAGATAGAGGCTCTTTGCAAGAGGCACACTCTATGTGTGAGAAAATATAGATAGAAACCAAAAGGAATAACAATATGTATCACGCAAATGCTAATCATACAGAAGACAATGTGGGTAAATTAAGATCCAACAAAGGAGATTTCAGGACCAGTGATATTACCAACAATAATAAAGAATATTGCTTAATGACAAAACGGTTAATCCTTCAATAAGATATAACACCACTAAATACGTGTACATCTAATAACAGAGCTTTAACATATGGGAAACAAAAATTGTCAGAACTGAAAGAAGACATCGACAAATCTGCAATCATAGCTGTAGATTTTAACCCACTTCTATCAGTAATTGAGAACAGAAGTATACGAAAATTCATAAGAATATAGAAGATTAGAACGATACCTTAGCTAACTTAATTGACTGCACTCAATACTTACAGCATACACATTCTTTTCAAAGGCACATGTGACATCACAATGAAAACATGAAACAAATCTCAGTGATAAAAATTATAATCCTGACTCAAAATCCTGGATTTTGTAATGAGCGTCAGTCCCCAGTTTGGCCCATACTGGACACTTCTATTCAAAAGTAGGGAGAAAAAGGAGGCACATAGTTGTCACCAGTCCGTAGCAATTCTGACCCAATTGGGGCACGTCGCCAGGGTTCTCTACTGGCAGCAGCGGACGTTCCTTTATTACAGCCCACTTACGTTCTGTAGGACTGGGTTCCTAATCCTCCATGATTTGCAGATGTTGGCTCTACTCCGTGGGTCTATGTCCTGGGAAGTTCTTTCATTTATATAAAAAATGGTCCATGTTTGCACTTGAGTAGCTTTCTTAGCTGGCTTCCTGTCCGTACAAAGTTGGGAGGCAAGGATCTTTTTGTTGTTGTTCTTACAGACTGGCCATGTCCCTTTTTGTCACAGTCGATTGTGCTTTTATCAATACAGTACAATACAATGCAATACAATACAGCACACTACAATACAATAAATACAATGCAATACTAATCAGTACAAATAACTTTTTTTGTATGTTTTCTATGAATTCTTTAAAGGTTTCACTCCATGGGTTCACATCTTTTCAGACCCACTAACAGTTCATTTGCCATATATCCAACTTTACTGACAACCTCCTTGCTGTTTTTAAAGCCTCAGATCATTCCCGAACCAAGGCCACATACTTTGTGTCTCTGCTATGGCAACACGCCACTTCTAGGTACCAATGCCTGTATCCATTATTTATTGCTGCACGACAAACGATTCTGAAACTTAGCAGCTTAAAATAACAACCGTCTATTATTTCTCGCAAACTGGTGGGCGGCAGAGCCATTTCTTCCTGGTCTCGCTTTGGGATCACTCATGAAGCTGTGATCATATGGCGAGATGTCTAGGAAAAAGAGTTTGCAGAAGGCAGTGGTCACTCACGTCTGTGAATTAGTTTCATCACGGAAATAGAATAAACACAGTCTTCCTTCACAGGAGTTTTGAAGATTCAGAGAATATATATATTTATGGTACATAGTAAGTACTAGTGTTAGCTAGTAACTAGTATTTGAAAACAGAAATATAAGGCTAAAACATAAGCTAGGGTGTGGCCATGGGAATGGACATCAATGAACAAGGATGCAGGAGGTCACAGACATGTAGGACCCTTCTGTATTGTTTCTCGGGAGGTTAATGCCTAGTACATTTAGATGCTTAAAATATACTAAATACACGAATAAATAAAAGGACAGCCACAAAGAAAAAGAAAAAACTCTTTCACACAATAGTTGTTTAGCAAATACTTTATTATGGGGAAATTGCATTGTGAACATATTTTCAGTTTTACATAAAATACTATCATAAACAATCTTTTTCTAATTATTCCCTGTTTGTCCCTAACTCTCAAGGTCCATCTCTGCTCTACCCTGTCTCGGAAGGTTAACCTCTGAGAATGGAATCATTCCGTATCCCCTTCTCCCTTGCTCCCAGATGGGTTTGGCCAATGGGAGACACGATAGGGGATGTGAGGATCCAAGGAGAGAGAGGTTGGGGTATTTATCTTCCTGCTCTGTCCTTACATGGTCACAGTTATGCCAATTGCTGCTTTTTCTTCTAAAGCCACAGTTCTTACCAAGTGGTTTCTCTTGCTAGATCTAGTTCTCGCTAGTCTCTAGTAACACTGTACCTTCTCTTTGCCAGTGAGGTCTGGGGGTCCGAATGGCTAGTATGTAAGAGTGTTATCGCCCCTTATTGGTTCCCTCGCTCATACTTCAGCATATAATTTTTTTATTATATTTTTAAATTAAAATCTACTGAAGGACACAGCTGTTTCCAGCTGACACCTGAGATACAGTGTTATACTTGTCACTTTCTATTATGCTCATTTGTTAATTTCTTTTCTAGCAGAAAAATTCCTGAGTCTACTAAAATGGTACAATCATTTGAAAGGTCTCTGGTACTCTGGTAGCTAAACAGTATCGAGAGAATTTGTAGCATTTTAAAATATCAGTTTTAACGTAGATGAGAGAAATCCCAGTTGCATGGGGATTTACAGGGCCTGGACTGGATCCGTTGTCTGACAGGTCATACACTCCTCTAGTGGTCCCAGGAGAGACAGCTCCTGGCAGGAACCCTCCCGAGGGCTTCCTTCATCTCACTGTTCCTCAGGGCATAGATCAGTGGATTGAGCAGTGGGGTTCCCAGTGTGTACACCAGTGAGATGAACTGGTCCTGCTTGGGGTCGTAGCTAGAGTTGGGGCGCAGGTACATGAAGGCACAGCAGCCATACTGCAGCAGGACCACAGTGAGGTGGGACGAGCAGGTGGAGAAGGCCCGGTGGCGGCCAGCTGATGACTGGACCTTGAGCACAGCAGCCACGATGAAGGCGTAGGAGGTGGCGATGAGGAGGAAAGGCACGGCAATGGCTAGCGTGGCTGCCACCAGCACCGACTGCTCATGGATGTGGCTGTTGGCACAGACGAGACGCATCACTGGTGGCACATCACAGAAGAAGTGCTCTAGACCCCGGGCCTGGCAGAATGGCAGAGAGAAGATGAAGGCCACCAGCTGCAAGGACAGGAACAAGCCGATGACCACAGAAGCAATGACCAAGCGGACACAGAGCGTCATGGTTATGATGAGAGGGTACCGCAAGGGGTGGCAAATAGCAACATACCGGTCATAGGCCATCACAGCCAGGAGCAAGCAGTCAGCACTGCCAAGTCCGATGAAGAAAGCCATTTGCGTGGCACAGCCCAGCACAGTGATGGTCTTCTCTGACTGTAGGATGTGGGCCAGAATGTGAGGCACCACCACAGCAGTGTAGCATATTTCCACCCCTGAGAGGCTGCCCAGGAAGTAGTACATGGGTGTGTGTAGGCGGGCTTCCGTGTGGATGGCCACCACGATGAGGACATTCCCGCTGATGATCAGTGTATAAACCAGGCTGACACCGAGGAAAGATAGGACACGCAGCTCGAGGTGCGAGGGATAGGCCAGGAACACAAACTCCATCAACACGGAGCGATTTCCCCAGGTCATTGAGCTAACAGGCTTACTGTGTCGCTAGTTACGGGAACAGAAGGAACAATTGGATTGAAAAAATCCTGGCTCACACTCTAAGCCCCGGTATAATCTCATCCAGATTGGAGTTAGAAATGAAAAGAATTAGGACTAGTTCTCTTTTCCCTCCTTTTAAACCAAATCTCTTCACGTAAATAACTACAACTTCATTCCTAACTGCCAAGAATTGAGCGAGATTACATACAAAACTTTTGAGGAAAATACTCAGAGGAAGTTTGGGAAATTAAAAGCTCTTTTCGGTAGAAATGGGATTAAAATTCAATGCTTTCAATAAAGTTACAAGGAAGTGTCACGGAATTTTGGAGTGCAGAGGTTATAAAAGTGAGGGCAGAAAGTTGTGTTCTTTGTAGCATTATTCACAGTAGCCAAGGGATGGAAGCAATTTAATTGTCTATCAACAGATGATCGGACAAAGATCATGCACTGTAGAGATAGAAAGGGATATTATTCAGCCTTAACAAAGAGTGAAATCCTGTCATACACTATAACATAGGTGAACCTTGAGGATATTATGCAAAGTGAAATAAGTCAGTCACAAAAAGAAAACTAAAGCATGATACCCCCTGTCTGAGGTATCTGAAGTAGTAAAACTTGTAGGAACTGGAAGGGGACTGGTGGTTGCCAGGGACAAAGGGGAGTGGGGAAAAGGGAGTTGTTTGGTGGGTATAGAACTTCAGTTTTGTACCATAAACATGTCTGGAGATCTGTATATGGTTCACAGCACTGTGCTGCGTATTTGAAAATGGCGAGGATAGTAAATCTTACGTCGTATATTTAATTTTATGTTATGACCACACGCACACCCAAAAGGCAAGAGCCAACATTGTGTACGCAGAAGGGTTCTCAATCTGTAGTGATATTGGAAGATCATGTGTAAGTATATAGACGGTCCTAAATATTAAGAGCACTCAGGGCACGAACGACTTGTTTGTTCAACGGTTCACAAATAGTATCCGTTTCATTCATCTTCTTTTTTCTCTTCTGAATTTCAATAATGCTTTGAATTATTTCTAATGTCACTGAGCATATTTCACATTGTATTACAACATGCAGAGGAGGGGCGGGGTATCAGTGCGAAGTCAGTTTTGAAATTAAATGGTGTGGGTTGAAAAATCCCATCTCCCAGCTCAGTGACTCAGGGCAAAATATAACTTCTCTGAATCCTTGGTTCTTTTCTTGAAATTGATTTTAAAATTATAGTTGTCATACAATATTATTATTAGTTTCAGGTGTACAACATAGTGATTAGACATTTATATATCTTACAAAGTGATCACCCCAATAAGTCTAGTAACCATCTGTCACCATACATAGTTATTATGATATTTTTATTTGAAAAATGGGGATAATAATTGTACTTTGCCCTAAGGGTTGTTCAGATTAAACAAGATCATAATGTAAAGTATCTACCACAATGCCCAGTCCACAGTAACAGCAGCCTCATATCAGATAACCATCATTCTTATTTGAAGTTCAAGGGCAGCCATTCTCCCTTATTTATATTTTATCTCCCTATATCACCAACCTAATGATGCGCAAATTGTACACTCAAGAATTGTATGTTGAGCAGATAAATACATTGTAAAAAACATGCCATTGATACCCTTTTTCATTTTTAAAATTATTTCATAATCAAATCACTTTTTTAAGAGCCCTTATGGAAATCACTTTAGTGGCTCTAATTATAGAAAACATTTGGGCTGCACTGTGGAAAAAATCCCATCGCCCCATCGCTCAAGGGTAGCGTATCTAGGGCTATGACAAACCGATGTCATGAGGCTAGTCTACCACCTATATTATGATGGAGGACTTTGAAATGTGTGTGCTGATGATGACTTCTGAGAATTTTGTTACAGTCAGTCACACTCATCATCTTAATGGTGCTCTCCAGGATCTATAATAAAATACTTACATCAGAGCTATCATAGGTCACGAATTCCTGGAGTTGAAAGGGACCTCAGGCATTGCTTAGTTCAGTCTCGTATTAGATACTTGAATCTCCAATAAAGTATCTGGACATCAAGTCACCTTCAGTGCCCAGGAAATCTCATTACCTCCTGGCTCTCTTGCTCCATCTTTGGAAGGATCGATGCTCTGAAAGTGCTTTCTTGTAATCGGCTGGAATCTACCTCTGTTCAATTTCTACATATTCATTCTGTTTTATATCATTGGGCAATTTCTACATGAATCAATTCAGATACTAAAGCCATTATTATACAGTCCTACATTTTCATCCTGATTTATTTAGCTATTCCTGTATGGCATGGATTCGATATTTCTCACAATTTTAGCTCTGGAAAGCCTTTTTTTAAAAAATATCTTCCTTAAAAGTGTGTTGCATAGGACAGATCTCGGGGATGGTCAGCATTACAAAGATTTGAACATCACCCGTATAGTCATGGGTGATCTATTTCTTCAATCTAATAAAAAATCAGATTAACTCACAGGTTTGTGTTCAATTGCTTGGTTTTCTCCTCACACTTACACTGATATTTAGCTCCTCAGATGTAAAATTACTAGTCCATTTTTCGTATTTTCGGAGCAACAAATCATCACCCACCATTCTAAAAAGATTTGTCCATGTTCTAGACTGCCAGCATTGAGATCTTTAGAAAATCTTTAATTTGTCACTTCACATCTTAACCATCTTTTCTTAAGTCACTCACATTTGATTTTTATGTATTAAGTACCAAGAAGCACCACACACAATGGTGATCAAAATGGTACAGTCTGTGCTCAAGTGGATATTACATCTTAATTCGAGAGGCAGACACTGTTAATTAAAGAACATGGCATATGTCTAGATAGATAGGTGAGGGGATGGATGGATAGATAGATCACAGATCACAGATCTGATTAACTGCTTTGAATAATAATAGCGTGTTAAAAGACTATCCAACATGGGGCCTGGCATAGTTTGTGATTAGGCAATTCTGAAAAGGCTTCCTAGAAGAAATAATATTTAAGCTTAGATTAAAGAATGAAAATTAACTAGGAGAAGAGGGATAGGCAGAGTAATGTGGTCCATATTCTGGATAGATAAAATAGTGGATTTTGTGGTTCCAAGAGAGTGAAACTTACTATGTCAACATATGATCAATGTCTTATTCCAAGTTTTTACTAAATATTTAGTAAAACATTTAAGTTCAAGGGCAGCCAACCGCTAGTTTCTAGGATTCTCTATCCTGTTGCATCAGACAGAGATGAGATAAGAGCCCTTCAGCATCATCCCCAGAAATCTCCCAGTGCCTCCCAGTCACATCCCACATCACACCCTCATCTTTCCTTTGACCTCTCCAGCTAGCCCAGCCCAGTTGGAAAGAATAGGATGAGAAAAATGATCCATTCGCGTTCTGGAAATCTAGAGTCTAGGCTAAAACAGCTCATACTTATTGAACTCTTGGAGAGCTGGGCTGGGGTTAGTGGGTTTGGCATTGAACAGACATATGCTAGAATCTCAGTCTACTATTAATACCATTGTTTTCTGGGCAGATTGTCTAATATTACTTTTTATTTCCTCCTGCTAAGAAATTGTAAATAATAATACTTAGATCCAACAGGATTGTGATGAGATTAAATAAGATAATATGTTTAGAACACTTGGTTTGATGTATAAAATCTGTTAATTTGTATAACAAATGCTAATTCTTCCCTCCTTTCTTTGAATCTATGAAAGACACCGTATTAATTAGAGGTGATATTAATAATGTCTGCTGTATTGTCTGTCAGGATTAAATGAGGTAGCATATAAGGAGAATGTTTTTATGAACTCTCAAGCTGTATAAAATTTTGTTATTTCTTCTCTCAATATTTCTTTGACTGATTAGTTATTATCATTCTACTGAGAAAAACTGTGCTTCCAAGTGGATTCAGAGAAAATACTGTAAGTCCTGGTCTGAGCTAGTTCAGAAATACTGGAGTCTTAACCGGTAAAGCCACTACTCACTTTTCTAAGTTGGTGTCAGCTGGTGCCTGGAACTTTGTAAATTAAGAAGGAGGTAGAAAAAGACTTTTTCTTAGCTCCAACATGACGGGTCTGCTCAGTTATATTCATAAAGAACAGGACCCAGCAGATGATGGATAGAGCAGGGAGGACCATGAGCCTGGAGAGACTATCCAGTGGGACTGAGACTTTAGTAACCTTCCCAAACAAAAGTCCTGGCCTAAATTACTTAGCTACCTAGGGTTTTGCTTCATAAGTTCCATCTCCCACAAGGCAGTTTTGGTGATTGCTGATCTCCTGTTACCAGATAATTAGTCCAAACTAAAACTGTCCCTACACTTGGGATTCCCTGTTTAGGGTATGCTTGTCAAAGTAGAGACCAATATTAAACCTTTAGCAACATCCTTAGTGCCTTGAAAAATTTCCTGAGAAAAATGAAGTTCTCTAATCAAGGTCATCTGAACCTCCTATTTCAAGGAGTTCATACCACCAGATTGTCATAGCTGGATTCAGCTCAAGTCCCAAATTATTATCACCCTGGAGAACTGAGATAGTATTTTACATTTTATCTGGCTTCCATGGGACCTCGTGTAGTACTGTATACTTAATAGAGCATATCTCATGCATATCAAATGTTTTATCTTTTCCATGCCTCTTTCTTTGTTTAACTCTCCTTGAGTGGAGACACTCCTATTAGTCTTAATAAATTAGCTTGTTCCTTGAAAATAATATTAGCTTGTTCCTTGAAAATAATAGTAGTCATGTATAATTTGTGTAAGTCTGAGTGTGATAGTATGCTCCCAAGTGCCCATTTATTCAAAGACGGTCCTCTGTGTGGTGGGTCTAGAGTGATTTATGTAGTTCTTTGATGTGTGTGTGTGTGTGTGTGTGTGTGTGTGTGCTGGATAGTCAGATCCCGATAGCTAGGCAGGGCCGAGCTATAACATCTTTACTGGTGTTTTACTGGTTCTTAACTGACACTAATTCCAAGAGTCTCAATAGTCACCGCAGTCAGAGTAGGTGCATATGGAGGCCAGGTAATAAATGGATTGTTTAGCTCAGGTTCACTTCACGGTGGGTCCAGTGGATCCCTAAACCCACCTTGTGATTATTTTTCCAGTTCGCAATGCATAATTGCCCTTACTCTGGATATAGATGTACCTTCCCTGCTCTTTAATCTTCTGCCAAAACTATAGATTCACAGAATGTTTTATTATGGTCATGGTATTCCATACAGCATTGCTTCTGCTCAAGAAACTCACTTCATAGCAAATGAAGTACCTAAATAGGCCCAGGTTCGTGGAATTCAATGGTCTTACCGTGCTTCCCAGCATCTGGTGTAATGGAGTGGTCAATGGCACTTTGAAGACTGCTAAAGTCCCAGATCCTTCAGGAATGAAAGTTTGGGTCACCCCGATAGGTAAAGAACCATGATAAGCTGTGCACTTTCTGAAGACAAAAAGAGTATAGACTAGGTATTGGAAAAAGGGATTAATACCAGTTTTGACCATATGACCAGTGGCAGAAAATATGAGTGTAATTTTATGTGTATTTCCTCTTTATTTTAATCTATATGTTTGTATGTATGTATGCCTGTGTTTTTTCTTTCTCTTATCCCTTTACTGTATAACATAAGATGTGATGACTTCACATGACAGTATTTAAGTAACTCTATATCATACTATTTAAGTTACAGAATATCAAGTAGAAGGTCAAAATTGCCCAAGGACTTTGTATTCTTTTCTGGGGAAAGGGTTAACGTGTTTTCAGTTATATGTAGGACAGTCAAATCAAATTAGGCAGAAGTATAACTGTGTTATTGCCTTTACTGGAGATCAGATATGGTTTAAGGAGATGAGTATGGCTGCCAAGTTGTCAAGGGGTGGATTTTGATGGCTAATTTTACTTGTCTATTTGGCTAGACTATGGTACCCAGTAGTTTAGTCAAACACCAGTCAAGATGCTGCTGTCAAGATGCTTTTTAGATGTGACTGACATTTAAATTGATAGACTTTGTGTAAAGCACCTTACTCACCATAATGTGGATAGTCCTCATCCAATCATTTAAACATCTTAGGAGAAAAGACTGAGGTCTACTCGCCCTCCCCTGCCAAAAAAAAAAAAAAAAGGGATCCAACTCTCAGAATGCCTTTGGACTCAAGACTGCAACATGAACACCTGCTGGAATTTCCAGTCTTCTTGCCTGGGTTGAACAATTTGGACTTGCCAGACTCCACAATCACATGAGCCAATTCTTAAGATAAATGTCTCCTTTGTGTGTGTGTGTGCGTGTGTGTGTGTGTGTGTGTGTGTGTGTGTGTGTGTGTGTGTAACATCTTATTGGCTCGGTTTCTCTGGACAACCCTGACTAATATAGAGGATGACCTCTAGAAAGTTCGACCATGCCACTTGATGACTCACTCTTGTTTTCTGACAACTGAAGGGTTTTATGTTAGAAATTTGAAAATTACTCTCAATGTATTTTAATTCTTAGAACAAATTGATTCTGCTCCGTCTTCCCTGACATATTTGCACATTCTTGGATTAAACGTGGGAGCACAGATTAGACCAGCACACAGGGACTGTTGTTACATGCCAAAGAGGTTTAATGAAAGAAATGGGTAAATTTGCCAGGCAGTTATTTGTCACACTTTAAAGACGAATACAACAGAAGACATATTAGGCTAAGCGAAATATCTTTACAGACATTTTTCATCCAAAGTGCTGATCAAGGACTCAATTAATACTACTGCTTCTCAGGAGGAAGCTTCCAAGATAAGAAAGTTGCTTCAGAGGACATGTAAACTTTTAAATTGGGGCTAAATGAACCCTAGACTAGCAGCCTACAGTATCCTTGTCCAGTTTTCAGAGTTTTAAAGTTTCAAAGAACTTCAAAATAATGAGTGTGAACTATAGCAACTAAGTGAATTAGGAAGATAGAATTAATGAAAAGACAAATTGTAGAGAAATAAATGTAAATCTGGCATTTGTATGTGAAAGTTTCATTGTTGTCACATGCTCAGGTATGTCCTTCAAGTCCCCCTTAAGCTTCAGGGAGTTCTAGTTGTGCCTTTGCCACTGATGACCTTTTTCAGGGCACTTTTGACATCCTTATTCCTAAGGGTGTAAATCAGAGGGTTGAGTAAGGGGGTGCCAAAAGTGTAAACGAGGGCAAATAGGCGGTCCTCATCCAGCGAGGAGCTAGATTGGGGACGCATGTAGACCACCGCGCAGACGCCATACTGCAGCAAGACCACGGTGAGGTGGGAGGAGCAGGTGGAGAAGGCCCGGCGGCGACCCTCGGCTGAGCGAATGCGCAGGATGGCCAAGGTGATGAACACGTAGGAGACGCAGATGAGCAGGAAGGGGACGGTCAGCACGAGGATGCTCACGACATAGAGGACAGCCTGGTGCACGTGGATGTCCGCGCAGGCCAGCCGCAGGACCGGAGGCACATCACAGAGGAAGTGGTTGATCTCCCGGAGGTGCTCCCAGAAGGGCAAGGTGAAGATTAAGGACGTGAGCTGCACGGTCAGGAAGAGCGCCAGGCCCAGGGCGAAGGCCACCACCTGGATGCACAGCTTCTGAGTCATGATGAGGGTGTAGTGCAGCGGGTGGCAGATGGCCACATAGCGATCATACGCCATGATTGCCAGGAGAAAGCAGTCAACAGTACCGAGTGTGATAAAAAAGAACATTTGGGTCCCACAGCCAGCCAGTGAAATGTGCCTCCGGGTCCCCCAAATGTTGGAAAGCATCAAGGGCACCACGACGGTGGTGTAGTTGATTTCTATAAAGGACAGGCTAGACAGGAAGAAATACATTGGGGTGCGCAGGGAGCTGTGTGTGCACACCACCCAGATGATGGCCGCGTTGCCGCAAAGGATCATCAGATAGAGGAGGAGAAAGAGAAGAAAGAGGAGAGCCTGGAAATGGGGGGCGGTGGTGAACCTGCGGAACACGAACTCAGTGGGGCCGGACTGGTTGAGGGGGGCGCTCCTAGCAAACATGTCTCCTGCAGAAGAAAAACAGAAAGTCCTGAATCTTCCTGGGCTGAGCTGACTTATTGCCTGCCTGAGTAAGATAAAAGATTTTGAGTTTTGTTTCCAATATGGGAGTTTCCTAACTGTAACAAAATATGTGGACTAGGATTTTTTGGAAATTTTCGTATGTATGTTTCTGAAGAAAAAGAAACAGACTTCCAAAATCTTTTGAATGATCAGCCTTTACATATGCATTCATAGGTGCTAGTTCTTTGCTTCCATAAAGTATTTGTAGTTGTATAAATGTAGACACACATTTTACATATTTTACATGTTAAATTTCGAAATCTGGAATTCTTCATATTCATGTGGATATTTTGGTCTCAGAGAGGATAGGGAACACCGCTTTATTCTAATGTTACCCTAACATATGCCAGTAATATATATTTTCTTATTGAAGTATTTTCTGTAAGACTTCGCTCATCAACCAAAACTTTAGAGTTCAAATATACCGACAGGTAGAAGCTTTCAATGTGTGGTAAGCGAAAACAAGAGTGGAGCTTGCTGAGTTAAGAAAGATAATGATACTAGAAATTTCCTAGAAGGGAAAAAAGAAAGAAAAAGTAACCACTTTTCACAAAGTCACCACTTTTCAGCAGATTTGTATTTACAATATACTTTTTATGATACAAACATGTAGGAGATGATGGATCAGTATCCCAAATGTTTTAAGGAAAACAAATTCTGATTAAGAGATCCTATGCCCGATCCAGTTGTCATGCATATATTCAAATTTTTTTCAAATTTGCAGAGGTTCTGGAATTATATTGTTTCCATCCATGCTAAAGCAATAACTCAATCTAGTTTGTTAAAAATGAATCAAAATAAAAATTAATTATTTTGTGCTACAAAAGTAAGTTGTGAGAATAAAAACATAGTAAAACAGTTATGTCTAAATATTTATTTCATAATACTAAAATTTCTATAATTATACGTAAATATCATACTAATTTCTACACAATGATTCAGTATAACGACATTATTATTGAGATGTGGATAATTAAATTTATTATTTTTATATTCTTTATTTTTTCTAAATATTTATAATACATGTCTTTACCAAATATTAAAGAGAAAAGAAATGAAAGAATGAAGTTATAGTTCAAAAGGAAAAGAACAAAAATGGATAAGGAATTATATAGAACAAAATCTTTTTAAAAATGTTGTTACAAGCAGGATGAAACAATTAGGACAATAAATATAAATGGACATATACTTTTGTTGAAATATAAAGATGTTTAGATTGAGTTGAGAAACAAAAAGATATTTTTAAGGGGCAAAAAAAATAATACTGTCGTGTAAAAACTATCACTCTTTTTACCCTCACAATTTTCTGGAAATTCTAAAATATAAAACAAACCGTCATCCCCAACCAAAAAAGATGACAGAGATCTGATTATTCCTATGAGAAACCCAAGGCAGCCAACTGAGAAGTTCTTAGAAGTGATATGACACTTTTAAAGATGACCGATAGTTAACTGATCGTACTTAACCACCCTCTTCTCCTTCCCCCTTATAAAATAGACTGTCAGGTGTCCGCACCACGCTGAACACCTGTGCATCTGCACACTAGTACTTCCTTTAGCTGAGCTTTCTGCTCATCAAATCAGCTGTGTTTGTGTCCAGCTGTGAACAAACCAAGTACACTTGATATTGTTAAAGTTAATAAAATAGTGTATGAAATGTTGAACTGTGACTGTGAAAATAGTTTTTTCAATGCCAATAAATTTTAATGTTATGGGAATATTTGATAAAAGTGAGTTGCAAACAAGTAATTTAACTGATGAATTAGCTCAGATGGGCACGAATGCTCTATATGTTTGAGGGGAAAAAAAACCATAAAAAGATGATATAGCATGTGTTTTTTCCCCCCACAAATGTCTTTATGTTTTCATTCCATTTTAAGGTCATCGACGTTGCAAATTGTAGGCAAGGACTTGTGAGTATGGTTCACTTCAGTCTGCAACGATCAGTCAACACACAGAAAAGGTTTGTTCAGACCTCAGAAGGCTGGTGATAAAAATGTGCAATCATATGCTTTCGGTTAAATGAAGATTTTAAGGAACACATACAGTTTAAAATCCATTTCCTTATAACCGCCTTTTCCATTAATGGATCAAGCACTGACCCTAACTGCTTTTGATGAAAGGGCTTTTACTTTCCATAAAACACAAAAGGTTTTCTCCATACCAGCAATAATTACTTAGAACACTCTCATACCAATAGCCACACAAATAGAAAATATCAGTATATGTCTATTATCTTAAGACAAGTTTAAAGTGATGGCTGTAGCTTTCTTTTCAATGAAAAAACTCAATATTTAAAAAATATTACGTACCTTCAAAATAATGTACATAGTCGGTGCGAATCTGATAAATCCCAAGAGAACCTGAGTGTGGATACGTGTTTTGTGTGCCTCTGCACGTATTTCATAATGTGATTTTAAGTTTATTTGGAAGAGCAATCAAGTGAGAATAAATGTTCAAGAAAGAACAAGAGCGAGCTTTGCATTTGCTATAAATTGCAGCATAAATGATAATATGTCATAAAGATATAATTTTAAAAATTCTATAAATTCAAAAATCAGTGCAGGAAAATAGAGACAGTCTATAAGATAGGAAATGCCTTTGACTATATTAGCCCATAAAACATGGCAAAGGCAAGGGAGGAGAAGAGAGGAGTTCAAAGCATGTTTTCTGCCATCGGACTGCTTGGGTTCCGAATAATCTTGGACAATTTAAATAAAATCTCTAGACCTCAATTTCCTCATCTATGATATGGGAATAATAAGAAATGTTCTTGCCTGGAGGGTTTCTGTGGTGATATAATGACAATAAATGAAAGACACTTAATATAGTGCCAGTCCCTACAAACAGTATAGAATAATGGACTAATATTTATTTTGACATCCATTTCCTAAGTTACCATGTACTGACATTTATTTTGGGTGGCCAAAAAGCTTATCTTCTTAAAAAGCAAAATCGTAAAGGAATTAAAAGACTACATAGTTAAGGGCAAAACTAAGACGTCAACCCAGCAAGATCGGTTATTAGAAGGTAGAGTCTATGCTGTATTCCTTGGTTCTTGGATTTCTCTCTTTTATTCTATAACAATTTCTTCACAATCTAGTAAAGATGTTGCAAAGACATACACAGGAAAGACAGATGAGTTGGAACAATTCCGTTAAAGTGTCTGACACAAATATTTGTACTTACAGTCTGGATTTATACTTACAGGAATGTGATTCGAGAAGCCTCGGAAAATGTCTACGGCCCCATATCGTCCTGCTAAAGGCACTGACCACTGTGAAGGCAATTTGTCAGATCATTACTCCTGTGAAAAAACACACAGGCTTTAAGGCTCTTCCACCTGCATTCTCAATAATGCAATCTGCTCTTCTCAGTTTCCTTAGCCGACAACTTGCAGGGTTTGCATGACTGTTAATAAAAACATACAGAGAGTGCCTAGCTTTTTTCCCCCAAAAACTTTTTTTTATTGTAAAACACACATAACCAAATTCACAGTTTTAACCACTTCAAATGTATAGTTCAATAGTATTAGGCACATTCATATTTTTGTGCAGCTGTCCTCACCATTATCTACAGAAATTGTTTCATCTTGCAAAACTGACACTTTATACCATTCAACAACTCCCCAACCATACCTCTTCCCAGTTCCCGGAAAACACTATTCTACTTTCTGCCTCTGATTTTGACTACTCCAGATACCTCATCAAAGTGGAACGTAGAATACATGTCTTTTGTGACTGGCTTATTTCGCTTAGTATGTCTAGCTTTTAACAGGGGCTCATCTCTTGCCATTTCCCCACCCTCTACAATCCCCTGACCACTATCTTATCACTCCTGAAATCACGGAAAGTCCCTCAGACTAGACATTTTCTTCCTTTCTTCCTAGCTAATTTCTATAGGTTGAAGCCCAGGAATTGAGGCTGAAGACCAAGCATTTTGGATCTAGGAAAGAAAGATCCAAGTTTGGCCCTTGGCTTCACTATTTTCCAGTTACATAATGTTAGATAAGCCACACTCTAAGCCCCATTTTCCTCTTCTGAGAAGTATGGATAATTATACCCTATCCACTATGTCATTTGATTTATTCAACAGTTCTTGCATGTACTTGAAAATTCTCCCTACACTTTAAAGTAGGGATTGACAAACTTTTTCTCTAAAGGACCAGATAGTAAATATTTTAGGCATTGTAGGCCATGTTGGTTCCTTGCATATAGTGTCTTCCCCCCTCCTTCCCTCTGCGCCGCCCCCCCAGTTCATGCTTTCTCTTTTTTTCTTTCTCTTCTTCCTTCCTTCCTTCCTTCCTTCCTTCCTTCCTTCCTTCCTTCCTTCCTTCCTTCCTTCCTTCCTTCCATCCTTTTTCTTTCCTTTCTTTCTTTCACTCTCCCTCCTCAATTCCTCCCCCCACTTCCTTTTTTTCTCTAACAGTAAAAACACATTCTTAGCTCAAGAGCCTCAAAGAAAGAGTCTGATTTTGGTCTGTAGGTTTAGTTTTTCTTCTCTTGCTCTAAAGTATTATACCCAGTAAGTTAAGATCAGTTAGGAAAAGAATAGCCAATTTGTTATTTAAAAGTCTTTGAATATGTTTTCTTACCTTTTTGCAATTCACTTGGTTCCATTAGCCATTACAGAAAATTCATATAGGCAATTTCTTTTTGCTGAAATGCTAAAAGTTTCTGCCATAGATGATTAAAGAAACCCCCCCAGAATGCTTCCTAACCCTATGTATCCCATTCTTTAAGGATGAAATGAAATAAGGATACATGGGCTTCAGATGTGTACAATCCTCTAAAATGAAAAGTGACCAGTAGGTGATGTCCTCGTAATATTTAGCTGTGGTTGGGGAAGAGTGTGCTGGTGTTCAGGAAACAAGTCAGGTTTTTAGAATGCCCTCCTTAGGACAGGGTAAGATAATCAGGGAGGGCAGGAAAGCAGGGGTACTTGGGTTCCTCCTAAACTGGTGTTCTGCATGGGAGAAGCAGGCTGCTCTTCTATGTTCTCCTCTATATTCTGAGGTCATTCCTGCATGATTTAGCCAGATAATTTAGTGTCCTATAGCATGTCTTAAAATAATGGGTCCCAAAGAGGAAGAATTTCCCCAGTGGTCTTACTTAAAACAAATCCAACTAAAATTATATTTGGAAAAAATTTCCTGGATTGACTGACTGTGACAAAGTTAATGGCAACTTTCCATGTGATGCTCACAGATAACTGCATGTGGAGACCACAGGATGGTGTCCTCATTCCTATCTATACCTGATAGAGACCTATGGATGTTGTATTCTAGCAAATTCAATTAGTGGGAAATTTTCATGATTCAGGGCACACGGAAGGCATAGAGTGCCCCCAATGACCTTAGCTGGGAAAATTCGAAGTGTTATAAGTGGTTCGATTTGATGATGTTCATGGTCCTTTCTAATCTCAAAACTCTAAGTTTCTACATCTACCTCTCGGTATGGAATTATGCCCCATCCACCACTTTTAGCTTTCTCATTTTCCCTGTCAACCATGTTTATATTTCTCTCTGCTGATCCCTGCCCCATTCTTACTTAATTCTGTGATGCTAACTATAATTTTAACTCGCTTAACCAGGTCGTTTTATTTGCTCCTCCTTAGTTACCTCCCTCTAATGTCATGTACCATTTTCTCTCTGATTCTGCTAACAGAAATTTCATTTTCAACCTCTCCGTTTCATCCTGTAATTTCTTGCAAACAAACCTTCCATCTAAATCAGGATTACTAGAGGTTTTTTTTTTTTTTTGTACTAGGCTACATATAAAATAATAACAAGAACACATGAACTTGAATATTTTTTGTTACAATGATCAATTGAGAGACCCTTTTTTTTGACTGAAGAATCATATAGATGATGCATAAATGAATCAAGTGCATACAGAGGTTAAGAACACATCGTCTCTTTTTACCATTCATAGAAACACCATTTCTTCAAAATACTAGATAGCTTACAATATTCATAGTGCTTTAAACATGACATGATTAATTATGTTCACCAGCAATTATAAGGACCAAATTGTCTTCTTTGGTAGCGTGAAACTTATCTGTGGTCAGTGATCTATATGAAAAGAGCTCAGGATATGTAGTATTTATGATAAACCAAACATTTATTGTTAGGCTTCTAGATAAATTTTGAACCATGAAACTAGATGAAATGTTCTAGGAAGTGAAGTTTATGGTCTTTAAATCCTTTAAAAGAAGGTGTTCACTGGGGCATGCAACTTTTACAGTTTAGCTTCTTTACCTAAGTGAAGCTTCTCGTTATGTAGCACAGAGCTTCTCGAAAACAGGGATGATGAGTTTTCCCAGGTAACATGGGCTTCATTGTAAGTAGCAACAACACACACGGAGAGAACACAAGCCCATTTATATCCCTCTGATGACCTCAAAAACCTGTGTTGTTTTTAGTGTGCTCCAACTTAGAACTGTAGTGAGCGCTAGGGAGTCTTCAGAATATCAACATTAAAGGAGATTTAAACAATTTCAAGGAAGATGCTAGATCAATATTTTTCAACTTTTTGTCTCGTTTAGTGTTTCTCATGCTTTAGTAACAAAGATAGTTGTGCTATACTGAGAAGTCTAGTGGTCCTTGGTATAAGAGAAATTTTTCGCCTTCATATCCTCATGCCCATTACAGTATGTTATAGTGTGAAGCAGTTGTTAGCTGGGCTAAACTGAAGAGGATGTGCTTTGGGTTCAAAATTTTGCTTTGCTACCATCTACCCACGTCTGAATCTTCATTTCCCCCTCTCTGTATGATTGCTCCTCTTAGAGTTAGTGTGGGGCCTGAATGAGATAGGATATACAAATAATTGAGTGGGCACTAGCTGTTAATTGATTATTATCTTTTTTTTTTGGTCTCAATCTTTTCTATGTATCAGGCTCTGGGGAAGACTGTACTTTATAATCTCTTGATGCCCTGGTCTTATCCCCAGACCTAGTAAATCATCTTATCTGGCAGCAGCATTTTAAAAATCTCCCCCAGATTATTGTAATGTCCAGCTGAGGTTGAGAACCACTGCTCTAGGCTGGTGTTTCAAGGTTGCGTGAGTCCAGTGATTCTCAATCTTTAGAATCCCCAGGAGGATTTGTTAAAACACACATAGCTGGGCTGTACTCCGAGAGTTTCTGATTCTGTAGGTCTGGGGTGGAGCTTCTGTAACTGGCATTTCTGAAAAATTCCTGGTGATGGTGATGCTGTTGGTCTTTGAACCACTGCTCTAGGGAAACAGTTCTCAAAGTGTGATCTGCACACCAACTGCATGTGGAATATATGGAAAGTTTAAGCATAAAGGCGGTCCTCCCTATCCAAACTCTCTTATGTAAATTTTATCTATTAGAACTCCAGTAAGGAATAAGTATGGAGATCTTTTTTTGCCCTCTGCACTATGTTTTTCTCTCTGAAATTCAGGAACTAAATAAATTTAGCTTATATACTATCCCTCATTGTCCAAACTTACCACTGGCATTCTCGCTATCAAAGCTCAGGATTCAGGTATATGTGATCATTCTACAGATTTCTGGGCTCCACCAGAGTTGTACCAAATTACATTATTTGAAATTAGATCTGGGGTTCTACATTTCAACAGTCTTTTAAGATCATTCTTAGAAGCATGGCTGTTGGAGAACCACACTTCTATGCTCTAAACAAGAATCATGAAGTTCTTTTGAATTCCAGTAATTAAAAACATAACTCTAGTGTCATATACTTATGAGGCTTACCTGCAAAGCACTTTAGACCAATAAAGTAATGTAGTCTGGGATCTTATAGTATTTAGGATTATAATCTTGATCTTAAGATAGAAGTAAAATCCTATTTTTGGAAAAAGACAACCAAAATTTCTCCTACCCGATCATATTCACAAACATGAGTGAAACCAGTCTTCTTTGGAGGAAACTGCTCAGGAAAATTAAAGACAAAATTAATTAAGATGAAAAACTATTTATAGATACTAGAAGTCCGATAGAAAATTCACATGGTTTGCATGCTGTTTCTAATTAGTAGGTGAAGCCCAAAGAAGACTTTACTTTTCTAACCATCTTCATGAGTGCACTCTTGACCTCTTTGTTCCTCAGGCTGTAGACCAGGGGGTTCAGCATGGGGATGATCATGGTGTAGAACACGGATGCTATTTTGTCTGTGTCCATGGAATGACTAGAACTTGGCTGCAAGTACATGAAGATGATTGTCCCATAGAAAATGGAGACTGTGGTTAGGTGGGATGTACAAGTAGAGAAAGCCTTCTTCCGTCCCTCAGCTGAGTTCATCCTCAGGATAGCAATAAAAATGAACACATAAGAGTTCAAGATAACCAGGAGAGTGAAAAAGACATTGAACGCTGCCAGTGCGAAGAGCACCATCTCATTTATGTTGATATCAGAACAAGAGAGAGCCAGCAGTGGGGGAATGTCACAGAAGAAGTGATTCACGACATCGGAACGACAGAAGAAGAGGTGAAAAGTGAAAGCAACGTGTATGGAAGATTCCAAGAGTCCACAGATGTAGGGGCCAGTGATAAGTATGGCACACACAGTAGTCGTCATAGTGGTGGTGTAATGAAGGGGTTTACACACTGCTACGTGGCGGTCAAAGGCCATTGAGGCCAAGAGGAAACTTTCAATAGTGGCAAAGGCTGCAAAGAAGAACATTTGGGCAGCGCATGCATTGTAGGATATGATCTTATCTCCTGTGAGAAACCCTACCATTACCTTGGGAGTGACAGCTGAGGGATAAACACAATCCACCAGGGAGAGATTACTAAGAAAAAAGTACATGGGAGTGTGGAGTCGAGAGTCCAACAGAATCAATATGATTATCCCCAGGTTCCCAAGCAGAGTCGTAAGGTAGATGAGAGAGAAAATGATGAAGAGTGGGATCTGTAACTCTTGGACATCTGTTAACCCCACAAGAGTGAATTCAGTCACCTCTGAAATGTTCTCCATTAAAGCCATGTGGGTATCATCATGAGAGGCACCTATGACAAGATGAACAAACACAAGATAATGCTATATGATGGTTATCATGGGAACTGAAGTGTGAACAGTCTTTTGCTCACATATTGTCAGCTTCCTGTCAAGGTCAGAAGCCCATGTGCAAGAAGTTGGACAGAATAGTGATTGGGTCCATGGGACAAGGAGGTTGAGTGGGGTCGTTTACCTAAAAGTGGAATGGAAGGACACTGGAATGTCCCTGCTAATTGTGGCTCCCATATGATGACTTGGGGACATATTTTAGCTTGCTCATTATATAGTATACTCTACTACCTTAAATCACAGAGGACTCTTCTTTTTCTCATTTCATATCTTTATAGTGCCTACAAAATTATTTCAGAAAACATTATAAAATTGTCAAAAATTGTTTTGCTTGCTATGGCTCAAGAAAACCCTTTTGATTTTGGCACATGGCTTTTCTAGCACAATTATAACTTTATTTAATTAATTTATTTACAGACCTTTGTCAACCTTGATTGTAAGAAACCTAAGGCCATTAGATGACCATCAAACGAATCTAAAAAAACAATTACTGAAATTCTTTCATGGTGTTATGAATTTCCTCCGGATCCCATTCTTCTGGTGGCTTTTCCCCATCCCCAGCTGTATTGAGGTGTAATTGACATATAATATTGTGTAAATTTAAGGTGACTTGATAAACATATATTGTGAAATGGTCACCACCATAATGTTAATTTAAAAATGTATCACTTCACATAACTATTTTTATGTGTGTGCAATGAGAACATTTAAGACCTACTCTCAGCAACATTCAAATATATAAAGTACTGTTCTGGTAATTAGTTAATTGTTTTTTTTATTAGTTTTGGGTATATAGCATAATGGTTAGACATTTGTATAATTTATGAAGCAATCCCTCTGATTACTCTAGTGCCCATCTGGCACTATACATAGCCATTGCAATATTATTGACTATATTCCCTACGCTGTACTCCACTTTCTGTGACTGCTTTGTAGCTACTAATTTGTATTTCTTCACCCCTCCACTTTTTTCACCCAGACCCCTAATCCTCCTCCTCCCTGGCAATCACCAGTTTGTTCTCTCCCAGAGGACTCTTTTTCACTGCCATATCTTGCAAGCACCCTTGTCTAAGATATATACATAGAAAGCTTCATCAATGGAAAGTAAAATACAGGAAACATTTTGTCAGTTGTTAGTATACGATGCTGACAAGCCCCGTCAAGCACATTTCCCGTCTGACCCCTAATCCTCCTCTCCCTTGGCAATCACCAGTTTGTTCTCTCCCAGAGGACTCTTTTTCACTGCCATATCTTGCAAGCACCCTTGTCTAAGATATATACATAGAAAGCTTCATCAATGGAAAGTAAAATACAGGAAACATTTTGTCAGTTGTTAGTATACGATGCTGACAAGCCCCGTCAAGCACATTTCCCGTCTCTGAGGGACGCCTCACCAACCAGTTAATAAGAGCTGAAGATGTACGGTGATTTGGAGCTCTGCTTTAGGGTCGCCTACACTTTTCTTTCTAATTCATGAGAGTTACTACTACTGCTGCTACTATTATTACACCAGGCAGAAGAAACTTCATGGGTTAAAGCACAAAGTGCTAAACATGATGCGTACACACGACGTGTAAGCAGATAGATACTAACAAGTAAAACACATGGCACAATCAAAATCTCATTTCGGTTGGGATGTGAAAACATTAATTGGTAGAAACAAGAGAGCTAGGATTGAACCTAGAAGAAAGAGAACAAAAAGGTGTTAGATTACAGATATAATGCAACTGTTTAGCAGAAGATCCTAAGTATAATACAAGAATATACTCTTTTTTCCGGTTGTACAGATGTGTCATTCACTGATTAACAATTTAGATGGGATGTGGCCTTGGGAACATTACTTACCCTCTGAGAATCTGTATCATTGTCCATGAAATACCCAGTTCATGTAATACCCAATGTATCTATTTTACAGACATATGGATCCCTACTAACACAATGCCTGCGACATGGAATGTATTCAGTGTTAGCTCCCTCTTCTTGTTCCCCTCCTAGCTGAGTTTGCACATAAACCAGCTCTGTACCAGGAACTGGTGGCAAAAACTGAAAAACATGATTCCTGACTTTTCAAGGGGATAGAGTGAGCCAGACCTACAGATTAACACCCCCAAAGTGATAAGTACTATAATAAAAGGAAGTAGAAAGTGTTACAAAATGATCATTAAAGTACCCAGAATTTGCCAGAACACCTACTGACTGTGAAGTTACTTCCTCCTAAAACTGGTTTATCAGTTCTTACATGTCTGTGTTTGCTAAAGCTGCCAGAGTCAGTCCAAATGCATAAACATGCGAATCTGATTAAATGTATTTTTGAAAAAAGTTAATTTCTGTATTTCACTGACACACTAAGAATGGCTAAGGTAGTGACTAAATTTCTTATCTATACTTCTGTAAGTCTAAAAAGACACAAAACAGCTCCTTTTGATACAGAAATTCAGAGGTGTAGGGGTGTGAATAGGATTGTACTGCAAACACAGGTCAAGTCTAATCCTTTTCCTAGTGATAATCCATTGGGTGTAGGTATGACATTTGGCCAGATTTTCTTAATTCCCAAGATGAAAAGCATCCTCTGTCTCCCTCATAGGCTGCTACCCTGCTTTGATGTGATAATGAATATAAACCTTCTTTGAAAAGTATAAAAAATATTAACATTTTCAAATTAGGCAATCTTAGCTATTACTTTCCATAGTCTATCTCATCTCTTCTTGGTTACTGCAAAATATTTAGCCAACAATGTTGAACGTCCAAACTCTGACATTCCTAAAGAAAAATGACTTTATAGTTGAGATTCCCAAATAGATGTTGAAAGTTTTACAACTTCCGAAATTCAGAAAGGAAACTATGATATTTGCACTGCTTTAACGATAGCATGTTCTAAAATAAAAATAATAATAATAATAATAATTAGGAGGCACGTTCTTTCTTTGGAGTCTAAGCATCACTCCCATCATTTATATAAGACATCTAACTGCAATGAGCATGGATAGCTGGATCCTGTAGAGCGGTACAGTAGACTGGAAGGAGAGGTGGATTGGGATTGAGAAATCGACCAGCTAACAGGGTGTCTATGATCTAGCCATTTTACCTCATAGGACTTTATGGTCCTCGTTTGCAAAATAAAAACTGTCGGAACTTCTAGAACTCCTTCCCATTCTAATCAGCTCTCAGTGTATGTTTTCTTGATACTCGCTTTTGTCCTAGGAACAGACAAGTGAGGGTCCAAAGTAGGAGCATGGAAAATCTTCATGCCTAGATTGTTGGCCAGAAGTCCACATCCAGGAGAGCATCATACTGGAGCAACTCCTGCCCCACCAGTGGAGCTTTGTGTCGTGAAACAGAACTTGCTCTTGTGCTCTTGCAAATATCAAGGCAGAGACAACGACCTTTTCACAGAACAAATCTTGGGGGAAACATTTAGTGTCATGTGAATAGATGTCTCAGGGGGCTCCCGATCCCAGATTGGCCTTCCCAATCTGAACCTGCTTGGAGATATCAGAAGATAATGTTTGTATGTATTTTAGCTGAGAGTGCCTACGGAGACATGGGGGAATGGAGGCTTAGGGGGAAGAGCCTCCAATCATCAAATAAGCAGTGCCACAGCCAAGTTAGACAACAAAAATTAAAACTCACTGAAAACTCTGGTTTAGGTGATGACAAGACCTCATGCAAGCTTTCTCTTACCTAGTTCTTTCTTAAAAGGCTACAAATCACCCCAGGAATTTTTTTTTTAAACAAAATATACCCATTCATCTTACCTCTACAGTCCTAGTCTAGGGATATTTGGGGCGGCGGGGGCGGGGGGGGATTTTTTCCTTATTTTTAGAACTAAGGGGATGTGGATCCATTTTTTTCTCTGCATAGTCATCTCTTGACCCCAAACACTCAGGGAGAATTATATGGTACAAATGTGAGCTGCGCAGTCATGTATCCTTCCTTCAGATCCTAATTCTGTCATCTGTTGCAGGGTGACCTCAACCAAGGTATTTAATCTCTCCAAAGTTCAGAATATCACTTATAAAAGTGGAATAATAATATTGCATATTACTCATAGGAGAATCCTAGGAATTGAATGAGATGACATATACACACATTTGAGTATGCTACCTAGCACATTTCAAGAGATCAACGCATGTAAGTATTACTATTTTATCATCAATGAAAAATTATATAGCTTGTGGAAGGAAAATAGTAGTGTTTGAACATTATATCTGCTCTACACATTTCCTTGCCTGTTTGCAGTGAGGTAGAGCCATGAACTAGTTCTGTATAATGAGCTGGAGAAGAAGTGATATGTGTCATTTTGAGGTTGAAATAAAGAAAAGTCAGTGTACATCTGTCTAATGCTTCTCTCTCTGCCATGATAACTGAAGACGCTGCATGTTCCAGAGGGTATAGCTACAGATGGTAAAGCCTCTATTTGCTTGGGTGTTTAAATGCACACATGCAGAGACACCTCTGCTTTCCTGGACAATATGCGATGCACATGTTGTGTTAAATCATTGGACTTTTGGGTTGCTTTGCTACTGCAGCATGACATGGTCTATTCTGTCTAAAACAGAAACATATATAATAAATTATGTATTTTTTTTGTCTGTGTATCTTTTTTTTAACAGATCCTTGAGTACTTGTCCTCTTATTAATTAGTCCTTCTTTTATAATAATAGCTTTATTGGTATAGAATTAACACACTATAAAATTCACTCCTTTAAAGTTTATAATTCAATGATTTTAGTATATTAGGCATTGTGCAACTGTTGCCGCCATCAATTTAAGAACATTTTTATCTCTTGAAAAAAAGAAACTCTGTACTGATTACCAGTTACTCCCATTTCCTTTCGCCCCACCCCCTCACCACCTTAGCCTTAGGAAACAACTAATCTACTTCCCATCTCTATAGATTTGCCTAGCTT